TCTTAATAATAATAATAATAATAATAATAATAATAATAATCTGTGGGCACTACAGTCATTGGTGAACCTTGGCCTCTGCTTTACAGTTTCTTATTCATATAGACAGTCGGTAGGACTCCTTGGGTAGGGGATTAGCCAACTGCAAGGCCACTGCCTTCACAGGACAAGGCAAACACAGAATATAAGCAGACAAATATACATGGGATTCAAACCCATGACCCGAGTGTTTGAGCGGGCAAAGACAGTTTATATTGCGGACCACACAGCCACTGTGATCAGCACATAAAACTTAAAAACTATAACACCATGCTATAACATACATTAAATACTGTCATGTGTATGGAGTGATTATAGATGGAGTTTGGGTTGGTAACTGGATTTACTGGACTCTTACAGATCTGTAACTACAAGTAATTATAACTGTTTCATTAATTTACACACCTTACAGTTCAGTACAACACACACTTCACTCTTCTCAGCCTGCTTTGACTTCATCAGTTTTCTGTTGATGGCTTCCAGTGGCGAACATTCTCCTTCCTCTGGGTTCCTGAACTGTTCCCAGCCTCAGCTACAAGCTTCCCATAGCAACAGCTCACAATAACTGAACCCCAGCAGTTATCTCACTCTCTCACCAACTTACCAACCAACTGCTCTTCACTAACTAACTCACTAACTGTCCTGCTTATAACATCTCAGCATAGATGGCACAGAAAACACCGTTCCTCTATTGCTGTTTACGGGCCGTTGACTAGTAACGGCCGTTGTCTGGTGTTTAGTTTCACGATCGCTGCCTAGCAACAGGTCTATATGCCACAGTATTAAGAATTCCTTTTATGTAATTCAAAGATACTGATGCTCAAATTCTGTAGAAGATTATGTAGATGATGGTACATCAAAAGTATGCATGGGTTTAACAGACATCTGCTTCAATATTAATAAGTGGGAAAGTGTCTTCCTGTACAGTGTGTAGTTATTAGACTGTATGTAAAGGAAGCTCTATGATGTGTGTACATGATGCTGACTCTGGCCTGGTTGGAAATGGACAATGTGAAAGTATGTGACTTATGTATGTGAAGCATTCGAAGAAAAGTTAGCATCGTAAGGTCTTCCCAGAATTTCTTGTTTATAATTTCTATATAATATTTATTATTATTTACTCTCTTATAATGATGGTGATAAAACACTGAATGCAAGATTTGAGATTTTCATGGCTATGACCAAGATGTCTGGGATGTGACACCATACAATTTGCTAGAGCATTAACATTTCACAGGAATCTATTGCCTCTATTTTCTTGGTGAAACAGAAGTGTCAACCATGAAGATGGAGGCAGCAGGTTCATCCGAAAAACTGGTAACAATGTACCAAACTACATGACGTCATTTCCAAGGAGACTAGTCTTCAAACACAGAATAAACTATATATTAAATATCCTCTAACATTAGCATTAATATGGGTAATTAATAACATGCCCACATGTAATTCTGACTTCTTCAGTGCAATTCTGCCACTTTACCTGAACAGCTGGGGCACATGACAGAGCCTCCGTGAAGCATATCATGCACATGTCATCAGCATCCTGCTTGAGAGTGGGGTTGGATGAGCAGCCATGGAGACATGGTAAACAAACTGCCTCCCCTTTAATGCCTCCACACATGTGACCGCAAGGATGCAGCTTGTTGCAAGCATTACGTGCATGTTCCTATTTAAGGAACAAGAGTAAGTCAAGACATGATATATGGGCCAGTCCTGGTAATTTTCATCATGGAGAGTTAGGTGTTCCACAAAATCAACTTATAATATAACCATATACTGACTATTCAGCTCTACAGGGCCAACTCTTTCCCGCACACAAATTTATGTCTGCCTTTGCTCACAATTCTAGTTCATTTTCTGCAAAAATGCTTCTTACTTCAAGGAACACAGCCCTTCTTTACAAGATGATGGTTATTCAGCTGTTCAAAGAAATGCCTACCTTTCACAGACCCCAAAGGTTTATTACCATTTTACAAAATCCTGCATTGAGCCCTAATCTAAGCCATCTAAAGTCAACCAAAACCATCACAATCTGTTTCTTCAATATCCATTTTAAAATTATTCTTCTACCCGGTCCTAGGTCTCAAAGGTGCTTCCTCACTCTGGGTTTTCAGACTAAAGTTTTGTTTAAATTTCTTACCTCCCTATGTGCAGGTACATGTCATAATCATCTGAACTGCCTTGATTTTATTTCCTTAAAATACTGGCAAAAAGTGCAAATTAGGATGTTCCTCATTACATAACTTCTGTTGTTTCATTTCTCATAGGTCCAAATATTACAAGGACTTTGTTTTCAGACACCCTTGAAGGCAAAAGACAAAGGCTAAAACTTACATGAAAGAACAGGCAAAACTATAGTTTTATTTTAATCTTTACATGTTTAGGTAGGACAAAGAAAGATAAAATACTCTGCAACTGAACTGTAGCAAGCATTCCTCAAAATTAATCTGCTCTTAACAACCTCACAAATGTTATCTTTATTTGTTTCTATTATTCCCTATAATTGAACTTGCCACTTTTTTAGGGTTTTCTTTACTGTTTCATTCACTACATCACATAATATGAAAAGCCATGATAATAATACAGCAGGGCGACATAGATGGCAGAAATACCTACATCATTTATAATCCATGTCTTTACCTCCCTACACAAATGACAGTATAAGCAAGAAGTACTGAACTTGCTATCAAGCGAAGCTGACAAACAACATAAAAATCATAATGTCAGGTCTTTCAACACAGAGGACATACAAGACTTACATAATGGTGCAGTGAAGAATGGAGTTACACTACTTTTAATATGCACTTCACCTGACATTCCTGATCTGCACAGATGTTGCCTATAGCAAGCAACCCTGAATTTCCAGTGGCTCCACAAAACCTGCAGACACCAGATGTCACACCAGCTGGTTTGTTCCGGGTTCCCTCACGAAATTCCACCATTGCCTTCAGTGTGCTCGAATCAGCCAAGGCCATCACCCAGAACAGTTTTGTACGACCACATCCCTCATGCAAGTCCACCTTGATTGCCTCTTCCTCTTCTTTGCATACCTGAATACAATATCAAGTGCTGCTGTAATCTCAGAGACCAGAGACAGTTTTTCGCAGGACTTATAATGTGAGAACTTGCTGGATTGAGTTAATATACATACAGTCTCTTTGCAGGATAATGCTGATGTATTTCAAATTTAAATAATTATTTAATGCAATAAGACAGAAGAGCAAAACGAATTGTGACTGACAAATAACAGTGCACATGGGAATAAGATTGTATAATAACTTGCCCTCTCAAATAAGAAGTATTCAAGAGTTCAAGGTTTTTAAGCGTCAATTAAAGGATTACTTGTTGTGCAAAGCTTTTTATTCCCTTCAAGAATATTTTTACAAGAATTAGCTTAATAATAGAACAAAGATACTTAGGTAATTTATTTTAGCTATTGCATGTAATTTATAGTTTAGCTTTTGTTGCCTTATTATACTCATCCACTGTTTTATCATATTTAAAGGATTTATTATGTTATTTTTCTATGGTTTTTTATATTATTAGTCATTTGATGTGATGTTTAATCTCATATATTTTTTTAAAAAACTGACTTGTCCAATTGTATATAATGTAACAGTTATGGATGTTAAATCAATCAATCAATCAATCAATCAAACATCTCCTATTTTAGGTGTACTATTTTGATATGAGCTCCATACATCAAAACTGTAATTCAGACACTGCCACAAGTGCTTCAGTGTATCTTGGGTAACTGAAACTGCAGCTACAAACACTCTTCCTTTTAACTGTAACAGTGACATCACCTCTGAGTGGGCCTGGACTTACTGCTTTATGTACTCCCCCAAAGAGAATTCTAATGTATATCATGTGCATTCATAAGAAGAGGAATGATAAGTTCATTATTCTTCACAGGTAAAGCCAGTAAACAAAGATGTGTATTTAAATATGATAAAACATTATACTTCTTCGTGCTTTGAGAAATGTGCTAACAGTGTTAAGTCTGAGGGAGTCAGTAAATAGCAAATGGAAGCAAAACAACTGTAATGGATGTGATAGGTTTTCTATGTGTATCACTAGGTAGCAGCACAGTCCAGCTTCATGACAGTCTAGGTAACAGATACGCATGTACATGTTCAGAGGATGGTTTCAGTAGTCAAAATGGTGAATGTGCTTGAGGAGCATCTTGCCAAAGAGCAGTGTTCTGTTGTGCGTTTTTGTGGACATAAGAACTCAATGCAAAGGATATTCATAAAGAAATGTTTCCTGTTTATGGTGGGAAGTGTTTGTTGCAAAAAGTGGTTCACAATGGGTCTTGAAATTCTCTCAAGGACGTTTAAAAGTCACAGATGATGCCCAACCAGGTTGCCCTGTTGAGATTACAAGAGAAGCAACTGTGCAGCAGGTGGAAGAGTTGATTCGAGTTGACAGGAGGAAAACAATTGACAATGTAGCAACTGCACTAGGATGTTCCCATGGTTTAGCATACAGCATAATGCATGATAATGTGAAGTTTTGGAAAGTGTGCACATAGTGGGTGCCCAAAAAACTGAAGGAAAGGGAAAATATTAACCAAATGGGTCTGTCCTTGCAACATCTCTTACAGTATGCAGATGAAGGAGAACATATGAGTATGATTAACAGGATCGTTACTGGGGATGAATCCTGAGTGCATCACTACCAACCTGAATTAAAGTGTATTTCAATGTAATGGAAACATCCCAGTTCACCTTCTTGTTCAACCAAAAAGTTTAAGATTACACCATCAGCTGGGAAGGTTATGCTTACCATGTTTTGGGATTCTCAGGGAGTACTGTTAGCCCATTTTCAGAAGCGTGGTGAAAATATGAATTCTGTATCATGCTGTGAAGTTCAGTTAGCTTTAGGATGCAATTTGCAGAAAACATCAAGGCCAACTGGCAAGAGGGGTACTGCTTCATCATGACAATGCCAGCCCCCATACTGCCCAAGCAACCCATTACAGAATTCAAAGAATTAGAGTGGGAACTTTTTTGACATCCACCTCACAGTATGGACTTTGCCCCTAGTGACTTCCACCTGTTTGGTCTGCTAAAGAAACCATCTTGGTGGCAAACATTTCACTGATGATGATGTTGAAATGGAGGTGCATAAGTGACTGAGACAACAGTCAAAATACTTCCATGCTGCAGGTTTCTACGTACCTGGTGGAGGACATGTCAAGAAATAAAAGCTTTTTCCTGGTTTGAATAGCACATTTTATGTTTTATATCCATTTGTGGCATATTTACTGACTCTCTCTTACAGAAGTACATGCTGACACCTTTCAGCAAGATATAACACCCCAACATTTCATTAAGATGTGTGCAATCATTTAATGTGCATTTCCTGAATAAGAGGATAAGTACAGAAGGGCCAGTTTCTTGGTCTTCTAGCTCATATCAACATAATATATAACAACATAAAATATGAACTGTAATTTGCAAATACATGGTCGCATTTAATCTATATATATTGTAACGTGTTTTGCCACTGAAGATGCTGTTCAGATTGTTAATTGGTTTATTTAACAACCTACAAGTCTTGATAAATGATACAAACTCCATCCCAAGTGCATACAATATATATTATATGTCTTTGATCTTGTTCTCTTCTACACTACATGTTTCGGCCTCTATCGGCCATCATCAGGTGTATACTCTTAACGTTGCTGCCACACTGAACCCAGTCTAAAATTTAACATTTAAAAACACATATTGTTATTTTCTTCGTATTATCAACATCTACCTCGTTGATATGTGTCTGGTATGTAGATTATATTGCACATGTCAAATTTGATTTTCCTGTAGTAGCACTATAAAATCTTTAGTTATGATTTTAAATTCCTTTAAAATTTTCTCTAAATATTCAATTTAAAATTTAAAATTGTTAGGGTTACTCGCCCTATGTCTAAAGTGCTGGAGCAGCTAGTTCTTGTTTCCACACTGTACAGGTGTTATCTGTAATATACAAATATTCGTATTATTATTTTATGTACGTAATATTTTCTTATGTGTGTATATTGTTATTTGTACTTACTCTGTGTAGTCTTCCTGTGTGCGTGCCGCTGCTTGTCTTTACTACGTGTGCTGTCTGATGTATTGTGTGC